TTCGTTCAGTGAGTCCCACTTTGGCTACATTCTTATATCCTGCGGCGTAGAGTTGTCGTGCCCGTCCCCTTTTTACACAGTCAATTGCCATCAGTGGGGTCAGCTCAACCACTACACAATCTGACAGCCGCTGTACCAATTCCGGTAGAAGAAGGCGAAGTGGCCATAAAGATGGAATCTTCTGTAAAAGTATTTTCCATCCAATTTGTGAAACATCACAAAAAAAACATTATAAAAATATAATAACTTGACGAAAAACAAGCAGTACTTCCGAAAACTTGGCAATAGCTGCTGCCTGTGCAACTGCATTCTGTAGCGTATTCTGTAGCCAGCCCCGGTCAACTCCAAATCTACAATAGAAATGTGAATTGCTTGACATTACTGGTGCACCTACACATTTGATGGTTGATTATTTCTAAAGGACTGATGAGACATCTAGCTGTAAGTGGTCTGTAACATGAATCCGAAATTGTACCTCTCAGCAACCGTGGCATGGGGCTGCTGTTTCCAAATCTCTTGCAGGAACAAACCAATATAAAGACGCATTGCAGGCTCTCCGGCCTCCTAAACTTTCGCATAAAAAACTATTGACCAGAAACCCTTTGAAGGCAGTGGCAATGATGACATGAATTTGATGTTGCCTTCCCTTCAAACAGCTTTATGATCAAATCCAATCCTTCCCCACTGCTTCCACTAAACAAAAAGAAGGTCAAAAGATGACACCCTCACCAGTCGCTTTTTCTTCACAATATATTGCAAAATGACGCTTTCAGGAATACCGTACGATGAAAGCAGTTTTTTCTCACCATCGGATAGAGCCACATACTGGAAATTTATAAATCTATTCAAATTTCGAAAAAAAAAACGCTCAAAGTGCTTCTTTAACTTACGAGATCATGGAAAAATTTCGCAGTCACAGACGCTGCGTCATAGGAGCTATAGTGAACAGAAGATGAAAATGTGAAGAAAACACCAATCCACCATTAAGGCTTGATGTGAGATCGACTGAAAGGCGCTGAGCCTCTAGTGGCGAAAGATTCGCAGCAAATGTTGCAGCTCCTAATAGGGACCGTGGAAGTTGAATAGCGCTGCAAACAGTAATTTTCACAGTGTTGATCGAAGGCATAGCTGCCTAAAACTAAATTACCAGAATTCCCAAGAACTACGAATATTGTGAATTCGCAAAAAAATGTAATGTTAAAATTTGTGGAGAAAAACAAACTCAAACAAGGAGTTCGGTCTAGCAACCTCTGACAATACGACTTTCAAGTCGATAATAAGATTTTCAGCTCAGAAAGCTATCAGCCATTGGAAACATGCGTAGTTTTCGAAAAAAAAATGTCGACAAATTTCAACTTATCGATCTCGACATGATTTACTAATCCGATCATTTTATTACGGTGTTTTATACCCTTTCTTCTGAATACAACGCGATGAATACCTCGTTGTCCTCCACCACCAAGCCATCTTCCTTGAGTTTATTAATAGCTTCTGTGGCAGCATTTCTGACCGCAGCAAATCCAATTTGAGCATGCAGTAAGGAATGCGTCAGTGCCTCACAGAGTGAGTCCAGCGAGTTCGCGATCTATGGAAAAAAGTGATTCTCAAAACAGATAAAACAATCACTTGTGTGCAATCCGACTTCTCTACCTTTAAAGTGACTAAGTCCACAATGAACGCTGAAAGGTACTCTAAACGTGCCAAACCGCTCGCGCAAGACATCATTGGAGAGGCCAGCATTGAGCGAAACTAAACTCACAGATGAAGGATTTGTTGTAGAAGAAATAAAATTCGCTCTTAAATCACAACGACCTGGCCTCTCTTCGGACATCGGCTGTAGGCAATTTGATACTATCGCCTTTCTGATCATAGCCGGCTCTTCCTGCTCGTCCTATCATCTGCATATACTGTGCTTTGCCAAGAGGGCTGCAGCCGACTAAGGGCCTAAAAAATGTGACCTGAAGCCAATAAATAAAGAACTTGTTGCTACTGGTAACTTGAGGTAAGTGGAGACTACTAAAGGATTCTCACAGTTAGAAGCTGACGTTATTCTGCACGCTAATGATCACTCTTCTTGCGGCAGTATCATCTCCAGCGGCGAAGTGTTGAAGTAGCGCCCAAACACAGATGATACCATCCGGAATGAAGAAAAACCATTCGAAAACTTTGATACTACGAAAAACTAACATGTGCGTGTACTTGATAGGGGAAGAATGACAGCGATCCACTATCCTTAAGGTGAACGTCTGTAGATATCCCCATGAAATGGTTGAGCTGACAAACTTGATTTGTGTGTATGCTACGAAGTTGAAAAAATGTATCTAAGCACTTTTCAAATTCGCCAAACAAATATGGAGTCGAAACTTATCCTTACAGAATAGGTTGAGCCACAGAAGCGGAACGTTGGCCTACATGCAAAACCTCATTGCTTGAAGTCTGTTTTGCTCAATGGAATCGTGACAGCTGTAGACCGACGTCATAGTCGGCGACGGACCAAGCGCATGGAGGCGATCGCGATCGCTCCATCGCTTGGATCCGTCGCCTCACAAATATATAACATATGACGTCGTCTTACCAACAAGCTGCCCCTAACCATCAACATTTGAATGGATCTATGGTATTTCGATTCCCAAATCTTTCAACATAGATACTTTTTCACTTATTTTGATATTTTCGCAAATTTAGCTGTTTATTCAATTACATGGGAAATGGTAGTACCTGGTGTTGGGGAATAACTCCTTAAGAGAGTTACAAGAAATATAATTGCAAAAAGTAAGGCATATTTATCTAGGAAAATCTTTGGAAATGAGTGAAAAGAAAATTGAACTTGGGTCTAGTGAAGGCACAAAGTTCCTGGGACTTCGCAGGCTTCCCAACTCCGAAAAAATAGAAATTCCAAAATTTCAAAGCTAGAAATAGCAATTTAACTCTTACACTGTAAGCCGCTTCAATGTGTTTTCTTTCTTCGTGTGTAAGTCCCGAGTGATGATAAGCTACTCCGGACATTATAGTGTTTTCCAGCACTGATGACACCTCAAATAACAGATCATCAAACACAGCTAGGGTAATCGAGACTCATATCATTTTGCCTCACCTGCCCTTCGCAGTCCTCTTTCATCGCTTCGAGTACTTTTTTCTTCTCTTCTAGTCTTTTCTTACGCACATCCCTGCAGAAAAAAAAACTCGACAGGAAACTCGACGTTAATATACTCATTTGAGCAATGAATAGCTTACTCAGGAACACATCGCGATATCATGGTTGCTACGCTCTCACAGTTTTTCTTTGTCGGACAAAAAATGAGAACCGAACGCTGCGGAATGACTCCAATCAACAGCTGACACAGTCCATCCGGATCAGCTTTTGCCAGCCGCTAAAAGACAAGAAATAATTGATTGCTCTGCAATGAAGACCGGTCTTCGTATCTTCTGGTTTGATTGTTCGGGTTTGAAATCATGGTCATCAGTTGGACAGCTCTATTTATTTAGGAGTAGCGATCCTAACTTATTCTCTTTTTTGAAAAAGGAAAAATTAGATGAAAGATCTCTACATTGGGCGGTAAATCCGCGTTGTGCTCGAGGTCACCGTCAGGCTTTACTTTCCACATCGTTTGTTCAATCCGAACATACTCGTGGAGCTCAACCTAAAGTGCCAGCTTCACAAAAAATCATGTTATCTAGTAACCGCCAGTGTCACCCACCGGACGGAACGAGGTGGAATAGACATACGCACGAAGAAAGCCAGCCAATTCGCCAATGTTAGACAGTGTGGCTGACATTCCGATAATTTGGCCGAAACCTGAAACTCAGCGCCTGCAACACAAGCACAAGGTTTTTCGTTGTGTTCACCCGCTGTGAAATGTTGAAATGTGAGAAGAGCAACCTTACTTTACAAATACACAGTGCTTATCAAAACTAAGTCACGCCACGCAGCGTCTAACGCGTAACAGAACATAGTACTAACCCGTGAATAAAAATACTAACTATTGAACCACTTCAGCACAAGACTGAATGGAGCAGTGAACATAGTCTTTTAGGGGGAAAAACGACAAAGTAACACGAAAATCAAAGAGGATAAAAAGCCAATTTGCACCTTTTGTTAAATATTTACACAGCAGCTGTTCAATTATGGTACCACGGCTGCCATCTCCGATCATGTGGAGCTAAACATAGATATTATGAGACACATCTGAAGACACATTGTTCAAACTAACACTTGCGCGCTCAAAAACTCAGAAAAACGAGACGACAGCAGATCAAACATGAACAGAAAAATATCAAGAAAAATTAGTTGCAAAAATAAGATTAGTTGCGGAAATAACAACAAAAAGATTCGCAAAAGAATAAGAGTACTGCAAGTCATACTAACTCTCACCTCATCAATCACAACGAGACCGACGCGATCCAAACCTCCAGTTTCTATCAGAGAGTTTATGAGACTATTTGCCTGAAACATTCGATGGTACAGAATCCCCTGAGTATAGAATGACACTAAATAACACTTCCAACTTTCAAGAGGCAACAGGAGAGAATATTTACCTTTTCTATGGTTGCCACGTAGATGGACACCTCTTTCCTGCGTTTTATAGGTGGGATTCTACCTTAAATGACAACTGAATTCCGTCAGAATGAATAAAAATTCCCATAGAAACCTTACCCTTATTGGCCGCGTACTCCTCTATGCGGATACCGAACGTTTCCTCAAACATAGACAGTGAAGAAATCTGTAATGCTCAAAAATCCCAAAGAGGGTTGCAGAAGTGTGAGGCTAAGTGTACATTGCTCTACCTTTTCCTGCACAATCGCAACATACGGTAGAACTAGGATTGAACTCCTCTTGTTGACGATAGCTTCTCGTAACATTAAAACCTAGACCATACAGTACTAAATGTATGAGTCACCACTATCTAATCACTTGAACAACAATTCTAATGTTTCTGACTTCTGCAATGAGTGTCTTCCCAGCTCCCGTAGGTAACGACACGATACAGTTGGAACCTCGCAGGAGTCGATGGTCCGAAAGACACTCTTTCTGCCAGTCTGATTGAAAAGCATGATAAAAGAAACGTAAAAATAAAATCGAGTTCATAGTTTGCTACTATCACGTGATTTGCTTTGTAATGTGAATCTTACCATATAACTGCTTGATGTTCCTCTTCTCAACAAATACCTCCTTAGCAGACTTGGGAAGACCACAAAGATCGAAATCCTCAGAAGGTTCCATATTTAATAGCGGTGGTGCTAGGTCACGCATCTGAATCGTCTCTTTGATTTGGCAAAATTGGCACAATCAGCTGTACTTCTTATTTACCGATATAGCAGCGGAACGCCGCGGCAATGTGGCACCTGCTTCCTTTCTCAAAGGTGTTATTGCCAAACTAGATCTCCTCTTTTGTGAGCGATGTTTCCGAACAGGTGTGGGCCGTGATGGATTAGTGGACTCCGCAACAGCTTCTGAAAATATTTTCGGCATTTTGGTGGATTAATATAAGACAAGAAAACTGGATTAGTTTTAAGAAGCATTTTAGAGCACCTACAAATCACCTGAAGAAACCCACCACTTTTGCCTCCATTTTCATCAGCGTCCTCTACAATGGGACTTCGAAATGGCTCAGCTGCTTTCGGCGTACATCGGAGAAGCCTGCCTTAAGCAGCTATAGCCAATTAGAATTCGAGAAATTTTCATTATGATAATCTAAATGAAGATGATCCAATTATTATGAGCAACACGGCCCACGTGTCCCATCTGTGGGCGAGAGCCCAGTGCTGCTCACCGACGGTCTGATAAGCTTCTAGCCAGCTAGGTGTTCATCAGTGTTAGGTAAGCTATTTCTAGTCAGATGGCTGAGTCATCGTTGGGACCACCCAATCACGAACGCAACAAGGCTTCTGAAGATCGAACCTGATTGGACTCGCACTGTTTGGTGGGCGGCGGAAATCGGCGCCATGAAGAACTACGACATCTAAAGCCAGATTCTTCTTCACTCTGCCATAAATACCCAAGACTTCGTCAAAAACCTGAAATGCATTCCTAGAACAAGGACTTCGCGACTCGAGTGCAAAGATAAAAGCGGGCATGAGAAAATCGGCACCATTTACTGTCACTGCCCCAAAATCTGAGAATTTTAGTTTTCATCCAAACTTCGCCTATAGGCGTAATTCGATGCCATTTGCAAAGAGATATTCATTTGCGACGCTGGCGCCACTTTATGACGACGGATACTTTTCACCAAATTTGATGTAAACGTGTGTACAGACTCATTCGGTGTCCTGATCATGAATACGACATTCGTTTTCGTAATTGGCGATCTACGCAATTCTCTGTTCTCCTAGGCTCTCTTACTTATAGTATCTGAGGCTAAGGACTACCGGGCTGGCGGTAAATTCGAGCCAATATGTAGCGAATGATGTGTTATGTCGGTAGCCGTGCAGAAGATGTAGCTTTATTCGGAGTTCATAAACTAAACCATACTGAAGGCAGAGGCTTATATAGGGGAGATGTTTTCGAGAGAACTCGAAAACAAGTGATACAAAAGAGATCATTTATTGTTCATCCATAACAAGATTCGAAAGTGATGAATTAACGGAAGTGCTTACTCACTGCTGAGCTCCCCTACCCCAAAAGCTCCAGCTTAACACGACCACTCACAGTGCGAGGGCGCAGACGAGCAGAAAATAGGCGCCATATGGAGCCAGCGCTACAAAGTAAATGCCATGTTCGTAATCAGGACGGTAAATAACCTCTGTATACAAGGGCGCAACTGGCGCCAGCGTAAAGAATAAAGGGTCATTCTAGTTAGGGCCGATGTCAGACTTTACGAATCGCGCGATTCGCTACTAGCGATCGCGCTGAGTTCGCGCATCCCCGCGTCGTGTTAGGCATTGTTCATAGTTTTGGAACCATCGGAATATTCGAATCTGCGAAAAGAAAAAGATACGTATCGACCAGGTGAATCCGCGCACGCGCGAACGCGGATGCGAAAAGGTTTAGATACGTATCGACGTAGTAAACCACGCCCTATTAGCGTTGCTAGAGGATTTTCGCACCGCCGTTTCGATGCTGCGATCTCCGATTGACTGATCGATAGACACTAATTCCTTTCAAGAGGATTCGCAGATTCCAATGCGCGATTCGAAGCCCCTCCCATTTTGTGGATCGATACGCACTTCATTCATTTCGCATTTGCGCAGATTCGTTCGGTTCGAGCGTCCTCCTCTCGTGGCGCAAACTATGAACAATGCCTAATAGCGTGCAGAGATCAGCTAGGTTGATTCACTCGCGCGATTCGCAAAGTCTGACATCGGTCTAGGGGAGGGCGGGCATCATGATGCAGTTTCTCGGCGAACTAGCGTAAACTAGAACATTACAGCTTTCACTCATGTCTGCTCGCCTCAACCTCCCTCCCCACCCCCTAGCCTGCCTCACTCTCCCTGGCTCGGAATTACCATAACTTTGTAGGAAGAACTGCATCATGCTTTCCCCTAAACTAGGATAGACCCGAAATGAATATTGTATTCATAATCAGGGCATTGAATTACGTCTGGCAAAGTCTCAATGAAAAATAAAATTTTTAATTTTAGGGCAGCAATGGAGGAAAAGTACACGATATCTTGCAAGAAAAGTCTCACGAAATCGTCATAAAAGGATTCACTGAAAACAAGATTCTAGAACAATCTATGGAAGCTCACAGCTGCTCAGCTGAAATTCAAAACGATGGTGAAGTCTGCAATTGCTCGGCGACATATTACGTACGTCGTCGGTAACTTGACGTCTGTTTTGTCACCACATCGCAATTCGTTGTCACTCGGTCGTCTTGCCGCGCATTGTCGTGTTTCCCATCTTTGCGATTACTTATCGTGCGTCTCAGAAATTTGTGAATCAGCTTATCGATTAGCACGATTCCATGCAAGTCTCGTCAAGTCAGTGTTTGTTCGGTGTAAGGAAGTAAGAAACTTGTCCATCAGTGTTCTAAGGAGCTGTTCTTCAGTTTTCGATGATGCTAGGAGTAACATCAATTCCAGCATCAAGTAATCAATGATTGTAGTGCGTTTGCAAAGAGGTATGTATGTGAACCCAGCACAAAGTGTGTGAAAGGAAAATGGGATGCTGCGGTTGGTTCTATGCAAGGAACCCCCTCACCACTAACCCTACACCGTAAAACGTTCGTGCGGAACAGTTTTTAAACCATTGAAAGTCTCACATTAATGGGGAACACATAATATTTTTCAAATGCTTCTTTTTACAAGTTACTACTATTACAAGTAAATATTCAATATCTTGGGCATCGTTTTTTTTTTTGAACAGTGGGTCTCTTGGGTAACTACTTTTCGACTGAATTTATTAATGAATTAGATAGGCAAACACAATTTCAGCATGGAAAGGAGGGCGATTCTGCAGTCTGTAAATTTGATTTTACAAAAACCGTTCAGAGTACTGCAACTCTAACACTAACATAGTATCTTTTCACAGCGATCTGGCACTGTGTCAAACAGGTTTTTTAATGGTGCAGTTTCTGTTATGCCTGACATTTCGACAAATTAATCGTCTCGAAGAGCCTAGAAGCAGGGTCAACCTTATATTGTGCCTAGTTCAACGAGGAGTCGTATGTCTGTTTTTATTTGGTATGGTGAGAGGGCTCGCATTTGAGACTTTCGGAGGGTGTCCTGATGGCGGTGGTGGGATTGGGGGATCGCGTTGCTGTGGAGAGGACAGTGAGATTGCTTTGACAAGTTTTATTCACACATTTTTGCGAAAATTGCATGTAATGTTCGGGATCAGAGTTTTCTGTTTTTGTATTCATGTATTCCACGTTTTATGACAGTTTAGTGAGGGTGCTGGTGGTGAGGGGGAGGGGAGTCATATAGAGGGCACGGGACCTACCTTTCCCCGAGCGGCGCGTCCTCCACCGCCAACTCTACCACAAAGCTTGGGAAGACGGGATCACATTTTAGGGCCCCAACATAGTCTGCTTTTCTATCTTCCAGACAGAGCAACGCGACACGAGAAGAGATGATTCGATTCGAAGGGGGTGGGGGCTAGGGGTCGACGGACTACTTGAACTCAGCCCTTTAAACCGCCTCTCTCTCGTGGGTCCCTCTCCTCTCCAAGGCTTAGTCCTAGGGCACTCACCCGTTTTCTAATCGTCTGTGCTCTAGCCATCGCGGCAGGACCATTGGCCGATGTCAGACTTTGCGATTGGAGCGATTTTGCACCAATTGCAGGAGCGACGGATCGCTCAAGCGATGCGAGCGACGGGAGATTTACCTGATGGCGCCGAATTATCGGTGGTCGGCGGTGTAAATCTCCCGTCGCTCCTGCAATTGGTGCAAAATCGCTCCAATCGCAAAGTCTGACATCGGCCATTGAGGAAAATTCAAGTAGTCCGTAAACCGTAGCAGGTTACGTCAAACGTAGCAGATGAATTTGACGTCTAGGAATGCTTTCATAACATTGAAAACGACGAATTTTCGGAACGTTGGGCGCTGTATGTCTCGCTGGGCAAAACGCAACCTTTTCGCTTTTCGCAGCTTGGAAATTTTTGCTGTGATAACTCCAGGGGCCGGGTGCAGCAAGCCCCAACGAGGGCATGGGGACCCATCCCCTCTCCCCGAGGTTGGGGATATATCCCCGGTTTCGTCACAGGACCCATCATTTTTCGATGGGTCCTATGACGCGACCATGCGAAACGGTCACTGCCGTCGATTCTCCGCGTCGGCATCTGAGGGGACGAATCCCCCTAGTCTCGACTAGGGGGATATATCCCCTGCCGGCAGAGACGCAAAGACGTTTCGCATGGTCGCGTCATAGGACCCATCGAAAAATGATGGGTTTTGGGACGAAACCGGGGATATATCCCCAACCTTGAGGACATTTCCCCAACCTCATGGAGAGGGGATGGGTCCCAATTCCCCTCGTTGGTGCTTGCTGCACCCAGCCCAGATTTGCTTCTTATCGGTGGCGGAACTGTGGTTCCCGTAGCGAAATAAGTTTCGTTCTGCGAAAAGTGAAAGTCGCCTTTTCTCCTAGTGACCCGCACCCGTCAGGCGTATTGGAAATTCCATCACGAAACAACTTTTCGGCACAGAAGCATCGACTAGACATGAGGTTTTTTAAAGTGTATGTCTCAAGAAAGTGAAAGTAAAAATCCCAGTCATTTTCAAACAGGATTGCATCCAGTGACATCTCATCCTTTCGTTGCATCAATCTCCTTGACCGAGGATCTTCGGACATCTTTGTAGATTTCTGGCGTAGATGGTAAAAGTCGTAGATTGTAAAAGGATAATAATTTGTTTCTCACACCTGCTGTGAAAATAGTGGTTTGCAGTCTCCAGAGTGATCGCTCACTGAATGTGATACGAGCGCGAGTGTACAAATTTAGTGACTGCAAACCGCTTCCAAATTAGTAGTCATCGTATCTATGAGCTTTTGGTGTGATTCGTTAGGGCAGAAAGCGACTTTCCGCTTTTCGCACCGCTAAACTTTTTGCTGGAGGATTCCAAGTCCACGACTGGGAGTGGACCTGTGGTGCTCGCCGCGAAAAAAAAAAGTGTGCTGCGAAAAGCGAAAAAGGGGCGCTTTCTGCCATCGAATCACACGCCGGACGCTTTCATGGACGCTTTTCATCTGCAATGACGATCTCACAGCATTGCGTACGTATTGATAGCCGGATGTGACGGACGACAAGGCAGTCGATACGTAGGTACCTAATGTTGTGCTATCGGTCGCATTACGGTGGGACGACGGGTGTGGTTCACTAGGACAGAAAGGTTTTTCGCATTTCGCAGCGCGAAACATTTTCCGTGCGCTGCGGAACTTTAGGTCCACCGCTGATCATCAGTGGAGGACCGAGATCCCGGCAGCGGAGCAATGTTTCGCGCTGCGAGACGCGAAAAAGTCGCTTTCTGTCCTAGTGAATACCTGGACGAACGACTAGCAAAGAGCCACCGCTGTGTGGCTCCCCATTTTTAACATTGGGGCACGAGCGCGGACGAGTCGATAGTGCCCGCGAACTGTGCGGGTAAATTTGAAACGCATCACCACCACAGTTCGCGGGCACTGTGGACTCGTCCGCGCTCGCCGCGGCCGCGCCCCAAATCGTTAAGAAAGTGGGGGAGCGGTGCGTATTCCCAGTTGCTACCATGTAGCCTTAAGCTGTCTTATTTCAGCAGATATATTGAAGAGTCGTGAAGCTCAAGAGAGACATAGGCCGTGGCTATACTATGCGATTGCATTGCAATTCGCGTGCTTTATGAGTGCTCTGGATACCTGCAGGTGTGGCTTCGCTAGGACAGGAAGCGGATTTTCCTTCTTCCACCGCGCTACGCGAACCTCAGGTCCAACACTGATCAGGAGTAGGTCTGACGTTCTCGCAGCGAAAGTTTCACGCTGCGAAAAGCCGAAAACTCACTTTCTGTCCTAGCGAAGACACCCGATACCTTTCGAACATGCGATCTTATGAATCTGTGCCCTGCGTTCTCAAAGTCGTGAAATCGCAGGTTGCAGATGCCGCGATGCCTTAGTGCTGTTGCGACGCACTTGGCCCACCCTTTGTTACATTCTCTTATTCTTTACCTGTCTGTTTTCGGTCTTCCCTCACTGGCTTTGTCTAGGCTCTCTTTTGATTCTTAGAGCAAGAGCGACCAACCAGCTGGTGCAGAACTGAGCAAGTACGCTGCTCATACTATGGAGTTGCATGTTTAGTACAGAGTCGACTTGGACATTATCGCTTTTTATAAACTTGAGTCTAGGTCTCATAACACCTATTACATAGCGCCTCTTTTTGTTCATGCGTACTGAACAGTGCAAAAGTTAATGATAAAAGTCGCGTTTATAGTTTGCGGCTGGGGAGACTAGGATAGTAGGCGACAGGATATAAGGATAGTAGAAGCAGGAGAATGTTCCGCCTGAAAGATTAGATACGTATCGAATGGATCACTAGAGACTAGTAGATCAGACTTTTTTGGTCGGATCGATCAGTACGTATCTAATCACTTGAATGCACTATCCTAATCTGCTGTCCTACTCTACTGCTATCCTACGCTACCATCCTAACCTCCCCGTCAATACATATCTTCTTCTTTGCCGTCTGCTATCCTAATCTCCGGATTCGTTAACTATGAACGTGGGCAGACAGTGACTTAAGCGAATAACGACGCGCTCGCATGCGTTGCGGCGTTTGCGATGCAGTGGTTTTGCGATTTTGCGGTCGCAAAGTCGTGCTATCGCAAGCGTAACCGTGATTAAAGTACAGTTCACATCTTGCCGTCTTATTGGGCGTGTCCTCGGATTTGACATGGCGGCCGCCCTGAAATAAATCTCGTGATTAGCTGTTTCCACGCACTGCGTGGGAAATAGCACCAGCGTGATAGAAGAGCCACTCTACACGCGGCGGTCGTACGTCAAGTCTAGATACGCTGTCAGACGGGGAGATATGAACTATAGTTCAAATTTCAGGTAGGGTTGCGCACAGGGATGGCATCGTCGAGACGACTTCAAAAGGTTAGTCACATCAAAGCTAGCGATTTCACGATCAAAAGAATTTCTTTTTCCAATCTGATGAACTTTCCTGTGATTCAGGAACTGTCTGATCTGAAGTCTTGCGGTGTGAAAGCCTATGAAAGCGTTGAGTACAACGAGTCCAATCTTCTTCATTGGACCGTTCTTCTTGTACCTGTAAGATTCTTTGCTTAATATTAATAGTTATATAATATTAGTCATAATAATAATATATAAATAGTCATTATTCCCTTTCCAGATATGCCATGAACGATTTCTATCACGAAAACATCAATGTAAACAAATGCTCAAAGCAACAATCCCAGCAGGCTTTTTGCCCTTCCGACACCTAATGGTGTGGGGCGATGCGCTAGCCCCTGGTCAAGAACATAAGAGGTGTGATCGAACAAATAAAATTACCTTGGAACGCCGCTAGACCGCTAGAAAGAGAGTCGAACGGCTTCGAAGTGGGCGTGGTTGGAATCGGCCAGTCCCGGCCGATTCACAACCACGCCCACTTCGAAGCTGTTCAGCTCCCTTTCTAGCGGCTTTCCAAGGTGAGTTTTTGTTCAGTCACACTTCTTATGTTCTTGACTAGGGCTAGCGCATCGTTCCACACCATTAGTGTCGAAGGTAAAAACCCTGCTGGGACTGTTGCTTAACTCTTCATCTGATTGAAAGTGAGGAAATATTCTGTTTTGGGTTGCTGGGGTGGTTGCTCGTAGAAATTATGATTGGGCGTTGTGGTGGAAATTGTATATCCGACTGCGCAGCATTCACTACTGCCAAATATTGGACCATCTCTTCTTTGCGACGCGATGTTCATTCTCCATATATTCTCCTTTGAAACATTTCCACTTTTATGACATTTTTGAGGTCTTCCGAGCTTCTAGACTTGCGCTTATACCCCAAAGCTAACCTCATTGAACCCTTATCTCCCTTTTAGGCTTCTTTTTGATGACTTTGAAACGACTCATACGTTGTTGGCATTATCTCGCTAATATTGAGAACCTTAACTGGAGCGTAAGATAGATGAAGACTTAAAGGCACGCCCAGGATCACATTGGTGTGGCTCTTGCACACGAATGCGAATGTATTGGTGCGAAATGGGCCGGCAGTAAGAAAAAAGGAAAAGAATCCGTCGAAAACGCTTAGGTTAAGGGCTCACTCACCTTCCTAATCGGCTGTGCTAAGGGAATGAGAGACTAAGCGCGGAGAGGAGAGTATGAGGCGAGAGAGCGCTACAGATGAGAGAGCGCCAGACAACAGCCTGATAAGAGAAAAAATCTGCAGCTTCAGCAGCTTACTTTGCAAGGCCCAAGCGCTCTTGTCGGTTGGTTTCCGTGCACGGAACGCCACATTTGTGATTGTCCTAGGGTCTATACTACAGACCGAAGAGAAGCGTTCACACGACCTCTGCCTGGGTTGTGCCTTTAATTATAATGGTGTAATATTTTTTCCGAAATGCATTAGGGCGCATTCATAGTCGGTCATCCGATCGTAGCTATCGCACAGCGTTACATATGTATCGTTCGTCCATTCCTCGGACACGTCGGACGATCGATACTCATCCGCTACTATGTGATCGTTACGATCGTTACGATGGGACAATCGACTATGAATGCGCCGTAACGTGGTTGTAGGTAGTTTTGAATTATTTTCGTCGATGTAGCTGTCTTATTCTCGTGTCATGTTGCAGGACAAGGAACCGTACAACAAGGGAGCCTTCAAAGTGAACATCGATTTTCCCGCTGATTACCCTTTCAAACCGCCAAAGATCACTCTTGCCACGAAGATTTACCATCCCATATCGACGATAAGGGACAAGTTTGTCATCTTCTTCTTCGTTTTATACGAAAATTTAAAACCCCCCCCCCCCCCCCCCCCCCCCCCCCCCCCCCCCCCCCCCCCCCCCCCCCCCCCCTCCCCCCCTCCCCTTAAATTCAGGCTGATTACAGTTAAGGTATTTCGTAAAATGTGCACACTATGGACTAGTGGTCAAGCTCGAGATTCTAGCGATTGCTAACGCCGTGGCGTGTAATCATGCTAAAAGCTCAAACCTCTGTCATCACGATCGCAATGACGACCCACTGTGCGTTTATACCGAATGCTCCCTCATACCCACCTTAAGTGTCGCATTCTTTGTTTTAATGGAAGATAGCATTGAAAATAGTTATTCTCAAAAAATACTTGCCGCAGTAAGTTTGAGAAGACCCTCAACCTAGAGCGAAACAGCGGGAGCGGAACTCTTAGTAAATTAAAAGCAACTTGTGAGTGAAAGAGTGGTGACAACAAAGTGGCATAATGTGGCTCGCAACGACCACTTTCGTCGTGGCGTTAGTGATCGCTCGATCGATGTGTACCCATTCCACACTCGAAGTGAAGAGTGCCCGCGAGCTATGATCGCGGCCGCACTCAATTTCGTATTGATGTCAAATCGACATTTTTGAGCGGCATAGCCATAATAACATCAATAGAATGGAAAAGAAACTTGAATCGCAACTTCAGGTTTGTCTCCCTATCGTGGACCCGAACAATTGGAAGCCGGCAACACGAACAGAACAAGGTTTGGATTCCTTCTCATTTTCCTTTACTTTTGTCACAATCATCTTAGGTAATCGGGTAACGGGTCTGAGATCCTTTTGAATACACTGACACAATATATAGGTAATGGTTAATATAAAGAAGTTATAAGTAAAGAAGCTATAAGTAAGCTTGCAGTGAGTTGTAGTAGCAGGCTTTTCTTCATTTCGTTGAGAGTAGTAGCCATGAGTATCCGATATACAAATTGTCGGAAGCACCGTATTGTGCTTCTTGTTTTACTCTTAAAATCCCTCTTAGAGAATAACTAATTTGTCGGAAGTCATCCAAAAGTAACGGTACTTTTTGAAATTGACCCCTTTTGTTTCAAAACTTTCTGATCCTGTGCAGGGATGAGGTGAAAAGCACGACAGCGATTCGCTGCAGTTAACCTGACTGCGGTGGTGGTAGTGGGATCCTAAGACCGGAGTTATAGTCGCAATCGTCCCATCGCATAATCAAGTGTGGAGTAGATACCTAATGACCATTCGATCGCATGTTCGCAAAGGTGTGGTTCACAAGGACAGAAAGTGACTTTTCGCGTTTCGCAGCGCGAAACATTTTTCGCTGCAGGAACTCTCAGGTCCACTCATGATCAGCGGTGGACCTGAGGTTCCCGCAGCGAAAATGTTTCGCGCTGCGAAACGCGAAAAAGTCGCTTTCTGTCCTAGTGAACCACACCCTGTTCGCAAGGTCGAACGAGTCGGATGATCGACAAGTATCTATCCTACACTCGGTTGTGCAACAAGGCATCGGTATTAATGGGCGACTGCGGATTATGTCGTTTAATTGTCGTTTGCTTGCAATAATCGATTTTCAAATTTCTTCGTCGAGCAATGCTGCCGGTTACTTTTTGTGATGCAGTGCATCTCCTTACGGCCTCTAATAATTCAGCGGATAGTTTAGGCTAGATAGAACGATGGTATTAAAGGTGTGGTCTGTATGGCAGTGTGTGGCATGGCTCACCAATCCTTGAAGAGATTCTAGCCAGGGACACGCTAGCAAACGATAGTAAAAACCTTGCCGATGTGCTTTTTGCAATCGCTTAGTGGATATTTCCTAAGAAGTAGGAAAGAAATAGTGTACAGGACTGGCCAAAATTGTGAATGCGCGTGGGCACGGTGAAGTCCGCTTTTTCTTCTCTCCATTTCACCTTCTTCTCGTTGCATAGGGGTGATAGGATACAATGCCTATATTATAGTGCATTTGAACATCTTGCGTTTTCAAAAACAGTGAAGTTGGTATGCCAATGGTTCTGTTGCATCGATGTGTGGTTCTGGTACGCTTTACCTAGTAGTTTAACAGTTGAACATAAAGAAGCTAGTATGGATGACTATTGAGTACTCTAATAAGTACGGAATCTCTGCAGGTGGAGAAGGCGAAGGTAACGGGGGCAAATCTACCAGCAGGACAGATATATGCAAAAATTTATTCTTTTCTTCATTTGGGAACTAAAACGCTACGTCTGTTATGGCCATTTGGGTCTGCATACTACATCAAATTTTTCAATAGGACAGAGCCTCAGTCAAAGCACAAAACTTCTGCGAATAGGAATTTATTGAGTTCATGGTTTTCTGCAAAAGCATGTAAAAACACTCGATTCCCTAAGAAGGCACGTCAGATCGCTCTGATGCGTTCGTATGCATGCCACCCTGCACGACTTGGCTGTAGTTTTGAAGGCTTGTATGAACAAATTAGGTGACAGATTTCAACTCCAGTTTGGCTTTGCTTTGTTATATGAGTAGCCAAGTAACTGACCTTTTTTTTGAAGTTCGATTGTTTCATCAGGCTAATGTTCATTTCCAAGTATACAAGTCAAAATTACTATTATATAATTTTGGCCCACTTCGTGCATTTGGGTTCACGCATGGAACAGGCATAGCTAATCGTGTAGTAGCAACACGTGGTATCTACAGGTATTGGGCTGCATTCTGGGGTCGTACGCATGCTTACCGCCCGGTTTTTACGCGTGCTCACCGGTTGTAAAAAAATTAGATAGTGGAAGTGGATTTTTCACGCTTCGACAGAGGACGAAAAAGTCAGCCCGTGGGGAGCAACGGAGCGCTTTGTTGTCGACCTACCTACTGCTGCTTCTGTCATCTATTAGATGACCACCAATGACCTGCATGAAGGTGAAGTGAAGGTTTTGTGTAGTTCTGCTGTCAGGATCGTTTGTTTTTGATTACTGGTGAACATCATCAAGCATTTAATCTTTTCAAGCTGTTACTTTGCTACTGTTTCAGTGATGATGGCTCTACTAGCTCTAATTCAAGAACCCGAACCTGACCATCCACTTCGGGCCGACCTAGCCGAAGAATTCAGCAAAGATCGTAAGAAATTCAACAAAACTGCTGAGGAGTTCACAAAGAAACACGCTGAGAAACAACCCGATAGATCGTTTGGACTACCGTCATTCCGGTTGTTTCCACCTGCCTTGATTTGACCATCACATTTCAGCTCTTATGGGCTCTGTCACCACTTTTGGCTTCATGTACCCTTGTATCAGTTGTTCATTGATTCAAATAGCTAACCATCACGCATGTACGAATTGCTTGTATCACTTGAAGTGTTGTGTTAATGATATTTACCATCTCTTTTTGAATTTTTGTCGATCGTTCGGTTTATTCACAAACGACTGCTGGGCTGTATTGAGCGTGTGTTTCTAGATCAATTGCAAGACAACTATGGGCAATGTATTTTTGTAATGCACATAGACCGGGTTCCTCGACCCAAACAGTTCTTCTCATTATTCATTTGGCTTGAAAATAAATCTAGATAAAGCTTGAATTGTCATTGCTGTAACACGCGGAGAACACCATTGTTATCGGACTAGCCATCGATCGTGCGTTTCGATCCGATGTCAGTTTTGCCCTGGTTTGATCCAGTTATTTTTTTTCAATAGTGCTCGGTCACATATCAATATGCCTATTTAATTTCACGTCAACAGTGCAGTGAGGTGCCATTATATCGTTATCGTTTCCATATGGTTTTTCAGTTATTGATTTTCGAAAAATTCACTCCCATTACTGCCCAAGCTTTATTGGCTGTCCACTTGGTCGTTCCCATTGCATTTTGCAACACACACATAAGAGCAACTGAATCTGGTTAAACTTTTTCCTCTTTAGGAAATGGCAGCAGGTGATTCGAAGGAGATGGTCGTTCTCGTCACTGGGGGCACCGGATTAGTGGGCAAGGCAATTGAACAGGTTTTTGTTCTTTTTCTTGTCAATTTTTTCATTTTTTACCCACCATGTACGCTCATCGGTATGGCACATCGTGGGATTTGTACAGTGGTAGTGACCCGTTGCCCACCGCGATTGGTTGATTAGAAGTTAGCAGTGGATAGCTGCTGCAGCCGCTTGTGCTTCATATCCAACGATGTATGTTGGAAGAAACTTATACGGCGACATTCATATGCGGATGCTTGCCGGTAACCGCCTACCCAAACTTCGAACTATTAAGTGCGTACATTATTACTGTACATTTGCTCACCGCCCCCCCCCCTATCATTCGAAGTTTCAGCCGATTCGTATCACGGTTCTTGGGCTTCAGATCTAGTAGTAACTTTGGATTTATTTAAGTCCTAGCCTTTAATATTTAAATTCATCATATTGCAAAATTTATGTTTTTTTAAAAAACCCCCCCCCCCAGGGTGTGGGTCACAGATTGTATAAGTTCAGTGAACATGCGGTGTATCCCGTAACCTCGACGTTGCATGTGGCGCGCGCATTCACGTGTATCGATTTTTGTCTTCTTGCCCTCTTCAACGAGAGGAATGACGTAGAGCAGGCCGCGCAGAATCAGGTTAAGCGCCGTTTAGTAGAAAGGTGGAAGAGACACAACGCCTAAAGCGAGTTGGCGCCACGTCGGATGAGCCGGCACCGGGGTTACTCCCGTGTGCTCGGCGCGAAGCGCCACTCCTCGCGCGAGCGGCGGCGAAAGCTTTGCGACCGATGTGTTAGCTTTCGTCGCAACAAGCGGCGAGCCGAACGCGCTGCGACGGTGTTCGGCTTCGTCGCGCAAGCGGCGAGGCCAACGCTGCGACGGTGTTCGGCTTCGTCGCGCAAGCGGCGAGGCGAACGCTGCGACGTCGCTCCATTTTTGGGTTCGCTGCCCCGAACAGCAGGGGCGGCGTCGTTGACCGCTCTCACACTAGTGCTGGCATTGTGCACTGGAAAGCCTGCAACCGCGCTCTGACGCAAACGTGGGTTACGGTATACATCCTATGTTCCTTAACTTATAATCTTGTCGGGTGTCCGAGCTTTCGTAAAATATATTGTTCGCTTGAACTTTAACTATGGAGGTTATCGAGGGCGCCAACTTGGCACCAACGCCAAAATGGATATCATATTCGTGATCAGGACCCTCTTACCTCCATAGCAAAAGTTTCAGCGAAAATTATTTTTTGACCCATCTCCGCCTACTGGGGTTGTAATAATGCAATAGTGCTTTAAATCTAAAGCACCCCTACCTATGCTGTTTACACCTAAATGACTGGGTTAAGTCCTTTTCCCACTTCGGTACCGTCGTAAAGGTTGTGAGTGATAGATGAAGTTACAGAATTACACGAGTACACAGTAATAGTAATGGGAATATTTTGGATATGCTTGGAATTATTTGCATTCTTGGAGACTATTCTTGAGCATTTATAGGTTGTGAATTCTGAGAGTCGATCGAATGAAAAATGGGTGTTTATTGGGAGCAAGGACTGCGATCTTACAAACCTACAGGCCACAAGGTTTCTTTATTCCGTTTGTCAAAAATGTTGTTAGTGTATCTGCTCAATAATCAGTAAATTAGGCGATTGTTCGAGGACTCAAGACCTACTCACGTTATTCATTTGGCAGCTATGGTAGGTGGGCTATTCCACAACTTAGCCCATAATCTGGAATTTTTCAGGAGAAATATGGTTAGTTCAATTTATTATTGATGTTTAATTTGTTTTTTTTTTCACGAATTTTCACTGCATTTCTAATACATATAATGTGCGGGTGAAAACATATACAATAGTTTCTTTCTTCTTAAAAAAAAAACTAAGGCACAGTTTCATTGTGGGGTTCGAATTCCCCGTTTAGCACTGAATTTTCTCGAAAGCTTTCTACTAAAATGGTACGAGGCAGCAACAGTGAGCGATTGGACTGGCCATTGAAGAGGTTTGAGGCGAATGCTCTTACAGAAGGACACCCTCTCAAGCATCATGTGCTCAGGATGAAAATTAACTGTCACTAGGGAGTTGACTGGCGTTTAGCAACCGTGCGAGAAGCTACTATAC